ACGCAGACGCTGTCGGAGTCTGCGCAGCAGCTACTCAAGGACCTCGGCTTCCTGCTGCATGAGACAGACTAGACATGGTAGTCGTACTGCAGCAGAGGCTTGCCATAGTAGCAGGAGCCAAGTACGCCCGGCAAATAGCCGTTGGCGCAGGGTCCATTGGACTTGCACCTCGGCTAGAGCATTTTCTGCTCGGGGTGCAGTCCATAGATGGGCTTCGGCAGGTTCCGGCTCGCTGCCACTGAAAAAAGACGGTCCGCTGCACGAGGCACTGGCCAGAATCAAGCCCCACTCCACAATAGCCCGGTCACGGCCAAGCTAAGGTCTGAACGGACAGAGGCCACGGCAACTCTGGCAGCGTCGCGACGTGCCCCTCGCAGTCAGACGGTGTGCTGCTTGCATTACTTGCACTGGCAGAAAGAACTCGGCGTTGTCACAGACGCTGTTGCCGCCGCTGTTGTTCCTGCCAGGCATGGCTTCACCGGACAGGACACGGCATGGATAGGTTGCTGCTTAGGATCACACACCAGCAACAACGACAGTTCAATCACATGACAGCACTGCCGAATTCTAACACCGCCGATCGGAGCCGTTGGCCACAGACGTAGCACGGGTGCTGCAAGCCGGGAGCATTGCTCGCTACCAGAATCCCGCCATGGACCAAGAGACCGCTCGTCCCGACGAGAGACCTTTCCTGGTACTGAGCGACAGCACCCTGCAGCATCTGCTCTTCTCCCGTGGAAAGGGCCAATCCTACGGGGTGGAGTCAGTCATGGGCGGCTATGCGATCATCAGTCCAGGAGCGACACTGGTCGCGCCGTACAAATCGACTCCTCACAACCCCCCGGTTCTGGAAATACTAGCGTGGCATTTCATCCAAGTACTGGAGGCATCGAGTCGCTCCACTACGACCTTTCCGGTCCAGCACCAGGGACTCAAGCAGTGCCTTGTGGAGGCCTTTCATCGCCCTGTAAACGTGGGGCTCATCCCCTTGAGGGAGAGTTTGCCGTCCCACAAACAAGGTGCGTACAACTGGCTGGCCGACGTTCGGGACGAGTATGGTCTCGGATCGTCTGAGCTC